CCCATCAATTACCAACAGAACCCTCCCAATTTCATCAAGTAATGTGATCGGAATTGAAGCTCAAATTTGGGTGCCGAAATATCTGAAAAACACCGGAAACACAAACTCTGGCCACCCCCATGACCGGATCTCACCACTAGTAGAAAGCCCACACATAGACGACCTCAACCATAGATTCAATTCATCCCAAACAACAACTCACAGCTCGAATTTTGCCAAAAAAATGTCAGTCGCGAAGGTCACTACAACGCAGTGGGTAACACGAATTCCGGCGCCGTTTCGAAGAACCAGGGTGGCGCACCACCTGGGCTGGGTGCGTCCTCACCCGGTACATCTAGCCCAGCCATGGGTCTCTCCCAATTTGACCCCAATCAAAACGAATTTCGATCTGAAGTGCTCACTCGCTCGAACTCGCGAAAGCAGAAAATGAATTTGCACTTCAAGTCCTCCAATTTTGAAGGGGCCATGTTTTGTTAATTTAGGTTTTAATTAGAACAAAATAGTCCCTTAATTTTGCTCGATGACCATTTTTGAAAGTGATTGTAAGTTGAGTGACCGTTTATGCAAGTTTCAAACTTCAGTGACCATTTTGTCCAAAGGTATCCGAAATCGGTGGTTTTTGTGGTCGGAAGTTGCCGAATAATTGCCGCAAACTTGGCCAAAAAATCTGAATATTCAGTGACCGTTGTGAATGAAATTTCAAACTTCAGTGACCATTTTGAAATTTTGCTATAACATCAGTGACCATTTTTGAATTAACCCAATAAACAATTTTGTTTATGAACCATCCTCGTACTTTTAAAATTAGTACAAGGACTTTCTATCTTGCCATCTTCTTAGTAATTTTCTTATGACTTATAAGGTGTAAAAAAAACTTGTAGAATAAGCTACCCCACAATTCCTCAATTACGAATGCATGTACAAGTAGTAACGTTATCCCCTTAAATCAAAGGTTAGATTCGAATTTAGAGTTTATCATCGTTAATTATATCTATCCGCCGGATAAACAATTTTATTTAACCTCTAGTCAACAAATAAATGACTAGGAATGTCAATATCTAATGAAAGCCTTTGAACTTTCGAAAGTAATGATATTAGAGCCCCGTTTAGTACCATGATTAACTCAACTTGAATTTGGTCATATCATGGTCAACACATAAACCCAGATTCAATCCTTTTCCATATTAGCACTTGAGCCGCACTTGCAACGACAGTTTTCCTACCGGTTCATTTCTAAAATTTGCATCGAAGTTCTCTATCGTATATAAATAGACACGCAAGTGAATCACGAATATTCACTTTGATTTGAACATTGACATCCATTCAAAATAATCGGATTCTATAGAGACAAACATATCACTTGTTATGCAAACATGGGTTCAATATAAAGTAATCCAAAAGTTGTGAATCAAGAGAAACAACTTAATGAAAGACATGTCTTGTTGGGAAATATATGTCTAAAGAGACGTGTATTTACAACAAAAGAATGTGACTTTTGGAAATTACCATTTCCGAAAAGACAACTTTTCATTCAAATAATTTTAGAATATTCTATAATATTTTATATAATTTCCAATAATTTCATGCATTTAAGTGACTTGAATTTAATTAAATTTGCCATTCACCAAATAATGATTTTCAATTAAATAATAATCCAAAACCAATTTTCTATACAAAATTCCAATAGGTCCACTATAGCTGTTGTTTCTGTAGCCTCGTTTATAATGATTTACCTTCATGTGAGAGCAACTACATATTTTTTACTCAAAAGCGGGATGGACTTTTAGCCCTGTTCGGGAGGGATTAAAAGTCAATTAAAATTGAAAATATGGTCGTTATTGGGTCCCACTCGTCTAATAAAAGTCAACAATAACGGCTATATTTTCAATTTTAATCCAATTTTAATCCCTCCCATACAAGGCCTTAGTAAAACAGAAAAGGAAGAAGTTTCAAGGGAGACCACCACCTCTGGTCCTCTGTCCTTTCGAAAGTCGATGAATTAAATGGGTGAAATGGGGGAGACGATAGTCAAATTGGAAAGAAACGGTTTGAAAATGGTTTTACTAATGTTATTAAATCCGGACCGGCCAGTTCTATTCGGAAACTGTCGAACCCGACCTTGTTCCTGTCCGAGCCTCCTCATATTTTTACTGTGCAGCTAACCCGATAAAAATCGAAAGGAACCGTCGGTTTTTCCATTAAACCATTGGCCCAAATGTAAAGAAACCGCCCGGTCCACATACCATATAATAACAACCCAAAAACCCATTTTTTTCTCAACCTCACATTCGAATTCGATGCCCTAGCCAGTAGCAAAAACTCAGCCTTCTCTTGCAATTTCACTACCAAGAATTCAAACCTTTAATTTCAAGATGTATTAGATGGAAGAAGAAGACATAAGTTTAAAATTTACAATTTTTTTTTTTTTGTGATTTTCAGTTTTTTGTCATTAAATTATGTCAATAATATTTCTTTGGATGGGTGAATTTTGACAGATTTTTACCAGAATTTCGTGTTATAGTTGTCTATATATTGTATATTATCTACAACAACTATGTTTTAAATGCAATTTTATGGGTGTTTATGGAATCGATTTATATGGCTTGGCTTGGGCCCAAAAAAGTTAGGACCTGTTTTGCTCGAGCCGAGCCCGAGCTTTGAGTTTTGGCTCGTGGCTCGACTCAACTTGTTGACATGGCTATGCGGGTAGGTGGCATGTGTGAATGTGTGGACAACATAACCAAACACAACCCACCGTCCAATTTGTCAAAAATTGGGCTCGTTAGTGTGTTTGGCCATGAGTAATGCTATATAACGTTATAGGACACAAAAACTAGCATAAGCAAATGTCATGTTACATGGAACACCCCAAAGAAACTTTTTAAATATAAAATGCTCTCTCTTTTAAAGAGTCAATCTTTAAAATTATATTTAAAGAGACTTTTTAAATTAATTTAAAGAGTGAGCCCCTGTTTGAGCCACATTAAAATTTTTATTCTCATTTTTTTCCTCATTTTCAACCATACATTCTTTAATAAAATAATATTTTTCGTCACATCAATAACTTTTTCTTATTTTTTCAACAACATATTCTTTATCAATCTACTATTCCAAAATACATTCTTTCAAAATAATGTGGCTCAAACACACACCGAGTCTCTCTATAATTAAATGCATTCAAAATATTTCATTTTTTTTATGGAAGAAAATAATATAATAATTTATGGGGAAGCTTTTGAAAATAAAATATAAGGAAAAAAAATAAATATTTTTTGGTATAATAAAATTAAAGTATTAAGTATACATAACATGTTGGAGTACTTGAGACTTTTTACTCTCTAAATTATAGAATATGCTTTATAAAAATAAAGAGCTTTACTTAAAATAAATAATAATAAATCACTTTCTTATTTCTATACTATGTTACTATTTTTCTTTCTTCAAGTAGAAAACATTACTTATTTTAAAAGTAATTACTATCTCACTCTTTGAATTTGATAACTTACTTATTTTCAACTTTAACCAACAAAAATTTATTAACTTAAAACTTATTTTTTATTTTTACTTAGATTTAAACTTTTAAGCTTAACCACACGTCAGAATCTTGACATTGGGAGATTGTTCACCTCACATCACAAAATCCAAAAACTACATATATTGATCCCAACGTTAACAATCTACAACTCTTGCAATTTGTCCAAGATCTTTCTTGACTTAAATTAGCACATGAAAAATGAGGGCTAAAGCAGTAATTCATTGACAAATTGATGTTCTGAAATATGAACTCCACCAAAGTACAGAATGATATTTCACTACACTATCTTTGAAATGAACAAACGAAAGATAAATTATTGTCGAAATTTTAGAGGAAAAGAAGTATACTGTACAATATTACACGTAAATCTTAATCAAAACAAAACTCTTAAACAGCACAGGAGTTGAAGGAACAAAAATTATATCACATAAAAATTCATTACATAAACTTCACAACATTAATGGCTGTCGGTAGCTCACTTGTACGCAACGCAGCTTTCATCATTCTTTGACCCTCAATCTGTAGAATGCTGATCAGTCTGCACGCCGGAGATGGTGGCCGCCCATGGCTTATGACGGGCATACTTGCCGAGCAGCAAAGCTATGAACAAGAGCACCTAAGATAGATACCTTGTTATCTACGTGGACTATTTATGGGAGCAAATAATCAAATGCATACACAACTATTCATGTTGGTACATTTGGATATAAGACGTACGAGAAACTTGCCCTTGAGAAGTCAAAGATCTTCGTATATCATCTCCTGGACATTCAAGAACAAAATGTACACGTTTAATTTAGGCGATAAACATCAGATACAAAATAAAGTTAGCCAAACTTAATCAGGTGCTTTTCAGCTTATGGAATCCCAGATTATTCACTTCACCAACTTATATTAGGGAAAATTGCACTAATGGTCCCCAACCTTGCTCCAGTAGAAAGTTAGTCCTCAATATTTCATTATAGGAGCACAAACGGTCCTCAAAGGCAGAAACTTTCTATATCTTCGTTAAATCGTCATGTGACTCACATATCCAAATTTTTGAAGCTAGATTTCGTTTACTGACTTCAGGTAAATGCCTAAAATTTGAAGTGCTGCATTTTTATTATGGCCATGTGACACTTTAAAGGAGATTTTGATGCTTTCCATCCTCCAGTATTAAGCAACTATAATTAAAGGTTGGGACCAACTTGCTAATTGAGGACAAGGTGTTGGAGATCATCCACCAAATTCAACTTCCCTACTCCCCACCCCCAGTGTTTTAGTTCCCTACTCCTCCCCCAAGAACTCCTTGGGGCCAAAGCTTACAACTTAATATCAATAATAATTAAAAAAAAAATTCAACATCTTATTAAAGCAAATATAAATTAAAGCGCTAAGCAAACCTGATCGCATATGGGGCAGTTGTCACTTCTTTCCATCCATTCAAGGATGCATGAAAGGTGAAAATGATGGTTACACTTGGTCATGATTTTTGGATTTTCTGCATCATACTCTGCATACAAAAGATGTAGAGAAAACTTTTATACTGGCAGCAAATGAGACCTACTTCTCATACCTACGACGTGTTGATGAAACATGGAAGTAAAAGGGTTTTCCACTATGGCCAAGCTTAAAAAGTTCACTTTTTCAGAAAATAACTAGAGTTAAAATAAATATTTTTTGAAGAAATATGTAAGTTACTGTTGATATTTAAATAGTTACTGTCAATATATGTAACTTTTATCCTTTTTAAGCTCAGCCAAACATACTCTATACAGCCTTGGCCCAGACCTTCAAGACAAGTGGAACAAGAATCCTCTTCGTCTGCTGTCGAAACAGTAATCAGTTTTGACTTCAAAAGTTCAATTTCCGCCTTTCTTGGTGAGAGTGGAAAGAACCCAGGTCGAATTTGGCAATTCACTTCCTTGAGATCAACACCATTAGCCTTCTCCAAACTACCACCACTTATAGTCAATTGTCCAGAATCGGCATCCAGATGCCCCAAAACCGCATCGTATGGGATAGGTGCAGGAGGGGGTCGATAAGTGTCGGGGATTGACATATCCAGATTTAAATCAACTAAGAGTCCAGAAGTGAGAACGGTAGCAACACTGTCATAAGATGTCAGCGACTCGTGCTCTTCTGAATCCGGCGGACACTGCAGAATAGAGATGTTTATTGGAAAGCATATCATAATATGGAAGAGTGCCATGTGTAATGACCGTTCCAAAGACAAAAGTAAGAAACTGAAGTGTAAGTCTATTAAAAGCCAGGAATGACAAGTTGCTAAGACAATATGAAGGACTAGCCTTGTCGCAGGACTGGAAGAACAGGAGATGAAATAAAATTTCAAATGCATGCAATCCGTTTTGACAGGATATTTGTCTTGATGATAAAGAACTAGTTACTACCAATAAGAGTGGGTCAAAAAATCCTGAATACGCAAAAAGTTCGATGAAAAGTGCAGTAACAACCCTACATCCAAATACAGCAGCGACCCTTCTATGCTGGTTCTTGCTATACTCACTACTTGAAGTGCTAAAAATTACAAAAGGATTATCTTTTTGGCTGGAACTAAATACACGAGTATTTCAACCTACCGTGATATTAACAAATAAAAATTTGACTTCAATAATCTTTTTGACAAATAAAATTAGGTTCAAGTATATAGATGCATCTTTCAAGATGATCTTGATAATCAGTAATCAAATTCAATCTAAAGGAAAGATGGGAAACTGGCGTTGTATCCCCCTAATTTAGCTGTAGTCTCTCGGTTATAATGTAAAAGAAGATTTTACATTTTATAGGCCTTGTAGCAATATTCATAGTGAAAAATAGCATTACATTCTAATTCTTATTTTGAAAGGCCTTCCTACAGAGTATGCAATAGTTTAATTAACCTTATTGTAAATGACTTTCTGCTTTTCTAGGTATAATCGGTAAAATGGATTAGTCAAAGTCGAAATCAACCTTATTAAAGTCAAATCGACCCCAATTGAAGGAGATCTGTTAGTTTACAAATGGATATAAGTCTATATTAGGAATAACACAATTAAACAGGCCACTTAACATAGTAAACAAGGCCCTTTTTCATCTTCTCTCTTCAAACGTGACCTCTCCACAAAATTTACTCATCAAAATACAAACACTCTGATTCCAGAAAATTTGTCCATTCTAACAAAGCCTAGGGGTGATTTTTAAAAGGGAAGTTACAGCTATGAAGAGTGCCAGACATGATACAATAAATGAAGTGCAATATGATACAAGTCCATAAGAGCTTAAGACGCAAAGAAAAAACATACAAGTACAATAAATTCATCTAGTAATCATTAACAAGAGAATTGTTGAAGTAAGGTTCACATAGAAGAAATGAAATCACTAACATAATAATATACTGGTGTTCCATGAAGCTGCGGTTTTCGGGAAGAACAACAGCAACCCCCCATTCCAGCAATTATTTCAATTTAACAACTCAAACTTGGTTATGCTTTGTCCACAACTTTCTCCTCCCTGGCAACAAGTACAGTAAGATACTACACAAATGAAAGCATAAAGCATTATGCTTCAAAAGAAGCTGCTCTCTATTTTGCAGAGTGAAAAAACAAGGAAACTTGCAGGGAAAGAGGGACCATCTGCATGAAATTTTCACTCTAAACTCACCTGGATGAAGTAAAAGAATTAAAATTATGATAAAATATCAGGTTGTAGGGCAAATCGAAAACCAAGCTAAGAAGATTTAAATCATAACCTCAAAATGGAAGTTGGAACCCTCTTCTCTCCTATTCCTCCATATATCTGTTTTTAACCCTTTTTAACATATCAGGTTGTAAAGAAAATCGAAAACTAAGTTAAGAAGATTTAAATCATAAACTCAAAATGAAAGTTGGAACCCTCTTCTCTCCTATACCTCCATATCTCTGTTTTTAACCCATTTTGTTTTCTTTTGAAGCAGCTTGTTTTCTAAAGCTTCGACTCTAAACTAGATGTCTTTCTTTTTCATTTCCCCTTAATTCTAATTCCTGAAATGCTCAGACTCTTAGTCAAAAGATAAGACAAAAGAAAGCACCCCTAAAGCAAACAAATAAGAATAGTTTCTTCTAGGAAAATACAAGAAGTTCATTCCAACCAAATATACCAATTTAAAGCCAGTAAAGAACATTTTCATGAAACCATCATCTCTATTCTTATAATCCTCTTTAAATACAAATCATCTCTTCCAAGTAAATATAGATTTGTGTTAAATATCATATCACAAAAGTATTTATTACTTTTAAGCATATGCTTTGGTACTCATGATTTATTCAACAATGTTTCACTATCGAGTGTACCCATATTTTTTTTGTTTTTATTTTATTTCTAATTTGATCAAGAAGAACAAGTTAACAAAAGAAAAAGGAAAAATTTGTTCGTGATTATAGTAAATAGCTGATATTCCAACTTAAATCAATTCATTGCACAACACAATTTAAGTATACCTATTTCCTTTTAGCTTAAGTGGCAAGATAAGTTTTATCCTCTGATCCAGTCCATAATACTCTCGTGTAAACAATATTACTGCTGCATTAATTTGTTAAGTTGGCTGCTAGCTAGCTTCCTATAAAACATCCGCCAGTTTTCAGTTTTGTGCTAAGTTTCCTCTAAAATCCCACCGATATCCTCATTCTACCTGCCTTCTATTACAGCAGCACTATTATTTTACCATATTTATTGTCTTTCTTCAATTGTTCATGCTCAATTTTAACAAGGATCGAGATAGCGAGTGATTTTTCCACCTTTATCAACCAAAAGCTGCAAAACACGCTAAAGCATTTGATGCTGCTAATTCCTTTTACTTATGCATGAAAAAGCATATGTATGCATTCTCTCAACCCAATTCCCACATCTTTCAATGCATATCCTTCACGTTACGTTTGAGATCTTAATTCAGAAAAGCATGTGTATTAACCTAGAGTGGAGATGTACATACATGATGTATATATATATGCCAATATACTATATACATTATGGTCAAGCTTTTAATTTTCGAGATCAGTTCACATGTCAATATCAACATGATTCTAGTGATATGATGTCATCAATTTATCTACTTTGATCTTAAGAATAATAAATTTACTTATTATATGTGTATACATATTGTTATTGATGATTAATGAAAATATAGAGAGTTTATTTCTCTTCCACACTTGTATCTCTTATTACAACCTACTTTCCACTGTTGTATGTGCATATACACTTATATATACATACGCCTATATATAATGGCATTTATTGATTTCGATACTGGTCAGCACAATGACACAGTAACCAGAATCTTATAGGACCATCCCTCATGTGAGCATATCATTCCCAACACTAGTAATAAACATACCAACATTAAAAACTCCAAAATGTTATTACATCAAAAACAGCCATAAAATTTCAAAATTCATCCACATAGGAGTACACGTCCTCAAGATTGTTTAGAACTATCTAATCTAACAGCTCAAGTGGTTAGAGAGAGGACACGTTTTTTTAATTTAAATTTAGTCTTCACTGTGCTTCCTCGCGTGAGCCATATTCACTTATTATGAGTCACATGACACGTCCACAATTTTAAATATCATGTTGTGCCGAGACTTGAACTTGGACTTGGACTTGTATGCTCTGATATTACGTTGGTAGGTATGCAAAGAACTCAATTTTTTTTAAGGGGCAATCATTCCATTTCAACTATAGCACTTCAGCTTACAGATAGAGCATTGAAACAACCCAAAAATCTACACCATACCATAGAGACCATCAAGTGAATGGTCGACTGCAATAAAAAAATTTCAGTTCCCACATAATTAAAAGACATACAAGAAACATAATAACTACCCAAAATCTTGCAAAGCATTGAGTTAATACACTGTTGACAAATATGAAATTAATCCAACAAAACTTAAGAAAATCTTAACCACTTCCACAACGATAACCCATCAAAAGAAAACAGCAAAATGGCACGATTAATTCAGAAAAGCATGTGTATTAACCTAGAGTGGAGATGTACATACATGATGTATATATATATGCCAATATACTATATACATTATGGTCAAGCTTTTAATTTTCGAGATCAGTTCACATGTCAATATCAACATGATTCTAGTGATATGATGTCATCAATTTATCTACTTTGATCTTAAGAATAATAAATTTACTTATTATATGTGTATACATATTGTTATTGATGATTAATGAAAATATAGAGAGTTTATTTCTCTTCCACACTTGTATCTCTTATTACAACCTACTTTCCACTGTTGTATGTGCATATACACTTATATATACATACGCCTATATATAATGGCATTTATTGATTTCGATACTGGTCAGCACAATGACACAGTAACCAGAATCTTATAGGACCATCCCTCATGTGAGCATATCATTCCCAACACTAGTAATAAACATACCAACATTAAAAACTCCAAAATGTTATTACATCAAAAACAGCCATAAAATTTCAAAATTCATCCACATAGGAGTACACGTCCTCAAGATTGTTTAGAACTATCTAATCTAACAGCTCAAGTGGTTAGAGAGAGGACACGTTTTTTTAATTTAAATTTAGTCTTCACTGTGCTTCCTCGCGTGAGCCATATTCACTTATTATGAGTCACATGACACGTCCACAATTTTAAATATCATGTTGTGCCGAGACTTGAACTTGGACTTGGACTTGTATGCTCTGATATTACGTTGGTAGGTATGCAAAGAACTCAATTTTTTTTAAGGGGCAATCATTCCATTTCAACTATAGCACTTCAGCTTACAGATAGAGCATTGAAACAACCCAAAAATCTACACCATACCATAGAGACCATCAAGTGAATGGTCGACTGCAATAAAAAAATTTCAGTTCCCACATAATTAAAAGACATACAAGAAACATAATAACTACCCAAAATCTTGCAAAGCATTGAGTTAATACACTGTTGACAAATATGAAATTAATCCAACAAAACTTAAGAAAATCTTAACCACTTCCACAACGATAACCCATCAAAAGAAAACAGCAAAATGGCACGATTAAACATAATTTTACCTGCGAATTCTTGTTTATTTATCAGTCGGCTGGATGAAATATGATAAGGGTTTTGAGGGCTGCTATGGAGTACCAAAAAAAAGGGTTCCACTACATTTCATTAGCATTTTTATCTGATCTTTTGTAAGAAAAGGAAAGCCTTTCTCTATAATGCAAGCGTAGGGTTGTGGACAGAAAAAAGCAGGAGTTTCAACTAGTCAAAAAAGGAAAAAATTGAGAGCAATTCGTGTCAGTTCTGAGGGGCACGTAAAGCATCATTTAGTGGTGGTTAACAATTTATTTTTCTATATAATTTTGTTAGGATTAAATCCATTGATGCCACTCAACTATATACTAATATCACCATGATCATTAAATTTAATTTTATTTCATCCTGATCATTCAACTTTATGTTTAATGTTACCATAATCACCTAATTTGATTTCATTTCAATTTTACCATGCTCAATTTCTTTTCACTATTTTCCCTAATTATAAAAAGGGTAACGGTAACTTTGTATTACATATCTTAAATATATTTAAAAAAAAAAACAAAAAATAAAAGTTTTTTTTAAATTTTTATTTTAAAATAAGTGTTTATTTTATTTTAAAAACTTTTTTTAAATAAGTTCTAATTTTATTTTATTTTTCTAGGTAATTTTTTTTAAATAAGGTTTTATTTTATTTTTTTAATTAACATTTTTTTAAAAAAAATAATTTTTTATTTTATTTTATTTTTTTAAGTACCCCTTTTTAAATAAGTTTTCATTATATATATATATATATATATTTTTTTTTTCTTTTCNATATATAAAATACCGTTTTATCCCTTTTAAAATTAATGCAAATGGTGAAAAGAAATTGGGCGGTCATGATGAACTGTTATATGAAATTAGGTGATTATAGTGAAATAAAATCAAATTTTGGTGACAATGGTAACACTAAGTATAAAGTTAGGTTACCATGTTGAAACAAAATCAAATTAAGTGACCATGGCGATACCAAATATAAAGTTGGGTGGTCATTTATAGATGTAATCCAATTTTCTTAATAAAGACAAATAGCAAAATATAGATTTTTAAAATTTAATTCTTTCAATGGTCACTGAACGAATGTCTATACCTTCAATTACTTACAAAAATTTAAGATGTCAAGTTTTTACCACTAAACTTTGAAAAGCGTTGCATGTTATTCATTGATTGACTTCCATTTCAAATATCTAACATAATTAGTGATGTGGCTAACGGAATGTACGTGTGGCGTCCCGTTACGCTTTAAACTTTGATATAGTTAAATTTTGTTCACTAAATTTTGAAAAACGTCTTCAATTACCCACTAAACTTTTAAAAATGTCTTCTAATACTGATTGAACTTTAAGACAGGAAAATTTTGGTTACTGAAC